ATTATTATTATTATTATTATTATTATTATTATTATTATTATCATTATTATTGTTACAAACATACTAGATGGTAGCTGATTTGCTTGCTTGAGCCAGTAAAACCAGATGCACTGAGTAGGCCTATGCTTTAGATACAACGAATGCTAATTCGAATAAAGAGAGGGAGGTGATGATTCAACGTTTTGAATTTTACTGTGTAATTATCAGGAACATGATGTTATAAATGGTAGGCCTATCAAACATAGTTCATCAACGAAAGTTCCTTATTTAGTTGTATGGGAAAATGAGGTAGTAGGCCCTACTGAAATCAGAGTTGCTATTACATATATATATATCTGTCTCTTATACACATCTAGATGTGTATAAGAGACAGCAATCATCCACGCTATAGGCCTATAGCCCTATATACATGGTAGTTGATAAGCTATCCTTGGGATACTGGGCGTATCCACGAAAAAGGACACAGGCATTGTCAACGAATAGTTTTATGGTGATTGAACTGCCAACTTAGTGCATCAACCCAGTGTTTTCTTTGAATACTCTATTGCCTGCTTTGTTTCGTAGGCCAAATAATCAAACTGTACTACCAAGGACTTTTAAATTCGACAAGAAAAAGGCGGTCGGTCAACCATGACTGACGTTTTTAATTCGCTTTTCACTTTAGTCTTTCTTAGTGATGGTTTCAATTATGTCCTATAGTGCGGAGGTTTCAGAAACTATAAAGTGCTAAGTCCTAGACAAAGGTACTTGTTTGTGTATGGCAAGATAGTGATAGTTTGCACTGAACAATATTCAAGTTCTACATTCTTTTTACCAAGATCGTAGCGCTGATACACAGTTTTGTGTATGCCTATGCCTTTTAATTTCTTTAAACTATAGTTTGGAAAATATACAATGCAATGTATGGTTATTTTCTGGTGTCGAATGCTGTTGTTGTTTATGATTACTGCATGTGTCCTATCCAACACCACTCCTCTCGGACAGTATACAGGTAATTAATCTTTGCTAAGTCTATGTCCAAAGCCGGGCACTCATTGCACCCGACAGTGGTCGGCCGACGCAATTCCATGAAGTACGCAACAACGTGACAACGCGCGTGCAACTGATCGTTTTTAATGACGATCCGTTCAGACGACCACCGACAATTACCGGTAGCAGACGGCGTCGCGACGAAGTTTGCGCCCGGCTTTACATAACTCCTAGGCCTACAGGAAGCCACGCCACCACTTTATAGGGGGCCGTTCATAATTACGATTTAGATATGCTGTAGATAAAAATATTTTATGTTTTAATAGCGATGCGAAAGTTTGGGTCGGCCTATTCAGACCCTAATAACAGGTCACGTTTCTGTGAAACAATGAGAACTATTTTTTTTCTTTTCATTTCTCTCGTTATTTCGGCATTCACACATGTATAACTAAATGGTTGTAAAAATGAGTTTCAAAGATAAAGAAGCTGTCTCCACTTCCTGAACAAATTCGCTTCTCAAAGTCCTTTGTAAGAAAACATAGGCTTCCCAGTGGCGTAGTGCGCAGTTCAGCTGGTGAAAAGCACTGGGGCCCGGAGCTATGTTAAGGGAGGGGTCCTGTTCAATAGGACTACAGTTATAATATAGATAAAATATAGCTTAAAAAATCCTGCTTAAATTTTAAAAGGACCCTTCTATAATATTGAATTTCAACACAGGGCAAACAACAACTGTCGCTGTACCAATAACCACTTTACGACCGACTACCACGTATCCAACGACAACTCGTTTGGAAACGAATACTCATCCACCAACTACCCCTCTAATTAGACGTACAACAATTTCTTTTGTTAGGGTATAATCTCAGCATGTAAACTCATTGATTGACTATTGTATTGTTTATATGTGATCAAAAGTAAAATGATTTATTTTTTGACACAGGGCAAACCACAAGAGCTGCAGTACCAAGAACTACATTACGACCGAAAACCACGTATCCAACGACAACTCGTTCGAGGACGACTCCTCCTTCGGATACTACCACTTTGTTTAAAGGTACAACGTCTTATGCAGGTAGGTTATAGCCACGTGTGCAAAATAATGTAATGAATGCAGTAAAAGTTTAAGGTGTACAAAAGTAAAATGATTTATTTTTCGATACAGGGCAAACAACAACTTTTGAAATACCAAAAACTACATTACGGCCGACAACAACGCATTCAAGGACAACTCTTTCGAGGACGACTCCTCTTTCGACAAGTACCCCTCTAATTAGACGTACAACGTATTTTCCAGGTATGTTATTGGCGTTTTGTGCGAAAGATGGATTGATGGTGTCAAATAACTGTCATAAATTTAAAAGCAAAACATATATATTTATATATTACTTTGTCTTGTAGGTAAAAGCGTTGTTGTCACATTTTCAATTACAAATGTTGACGGTTCAGAAGCAGTTTTAACAGCCGAATTGCTAGATCCAAGCTCGGACGAATTTAAGAGTTTAGAGCAAGAAATTTGCACCTCGGTAAGCAGCAATACATAAATTATTTCTCTTTTAATGATAACTAAATATTGTTTGATACTGGTAGTAAAACGAAATTATCGATACATGATTATTACTTTTATAGCTGATTGATCTATACGGTAACGATGAAGTTGCAGCTTGTTCAGTGTTGAGCTTTAGCGCAGGTAGCATCGTTGCTAATGCGCAACTCAAGCAGGCAACTGGGAGTACGACATCTGATGAGGAACTGCAAACGGATCTCGTGACTGCAATTGACAATGCCGGAGGAATGTTACCTGGAAGTACATTAAAAGTTAATTCGTCGTCGGTTTCTGTTCAAGGTACTTGTTACATTAATTTTGTTATTCAAAAAAAAAAAGAAAGGTTTTGTCTACAAATGTTCATCAATTCAATATTAGATAGCGTTTCGGTTATATAAATAGTAAAGTAAAATTATCTATCTTGTTGAAACAGGGCAATCGACAACAGAGGCTGTACCAAGAACTACATTACGACCGACAACCACGCATTCAAACAACAACTGTCGCTGTACCAAGAACCACTTTACGACCGACTACCACGTATCCAACGACAACTCATTTGGAAACGAATACTCATCCGCCACCTACCTCTCTAATTAGACGTACAACATCTTCTTCTGGTAGGGTATAATAACAGCATGTAAACTCATTGATTGACTATTGTATTGTTTATATGTGAACAAATGTAAAATGATTCATTTTTTGACACAGGGCAAACCACAAGAGCTGCAGTACCAAGAACTACATTACGACCGAAAACCACGTATCCAACGACAACTCGTTTGGGAACGACGACTCCTGCAACTACCCCTTTCATTGGCCATACAACGTCTTTTGCAGGTAGGCTATAGGCGTGTGTCGAACATCATGTATTGAATACCGTACTGGTTATAAGGGTACAAAAGTAAAATGATTTATCTTTTCAACACAGGGCACACAACAACTACTGCAATACCAAGAACTACATTACGACCGACAACCACGTATCCAACGACAACTAGTTCGAGGACTACTCATCCTCCAGCAACTACCACTTTGTTTAGACGTACGACGTCTTCTGCAAGTAGGTTATAGCCTTAGTGTGCAAAACAATTATTTTGCTAGTGTATTGGGTATATGTGTGCAAAAGTAAAACGATTTATCTTGTAGAAACAGGGTAAAGAACATCTGTGGTTTTACGAAGTACTACACTACGATGAATAAACCAAGTTTTAAAAAAAAACAACAATTTGTTTGTGGATGACCCGTATTTCTGCTACTACCAGGCAGGCTATAGTCATGTGTGCAAAATCTTGTATTGAATACCGACTAGTTTTAATTGAACAAAAGTAAAATGATTTATCTTTTCAACACAGGGCAAACAACAACTGTCGCTGTACCAAGAACTACATTACGACCGACAACCACGTATCCAACGACAACTCGTTTGGAAACGAATACTCATCCACCAACTACCCCTTTAATTAGACGTACAACATCTTCTTCTGGTAGGATATAATCCCAGCATGTAAACTCATTGATTGACTATTTTATTGTTTATATGTGAACAAAGGTAAAATTATTTATTTTTTGACACAGGGCAAACCACAAGAGCTGCAATACCAAGAACTACATTACGACCGACAACCACGTATCCAACGACAACTCGTTTGGGAACGACGACTCCTGCAACTACCCCTTTCATTGGACATACAACGTCTTTTGCAGGTAGGCTATAGGCATGTGTGGAACATCATGTATTGAATACCGCACTGGTTATAAGGGTACAAAAGTAAAATGATTTATCTTTTCAACACAGGGCACACAACAACTACTGCAATACCAAGAACTACAATACGACCGACTACCACGTATCCAACGACAACTAGTTCGAGGACTACTCATCTTCCCGCAACCACCACTTTGTTTAGACGTACGACGTCTTCTGCAAGTAGGTTATAGCCTTAATGTCCAAAACAATTAATTTACTAGTGTATTGGGTATATGTATGCAAAAGTAAAACGATTTATCTTGTAGAAACAGGTTAAAGAACATCTGTGGTTGTACGATGAATAAACCAAGTATCAAAAAACAATTTGTTTTTGGACGACCCCTATTTCTGCTACTACCAGGCAGGCTATAGTCATGTGTGAAAAATCATGTATTGAATACCGACTAGTTTTAAGTGAACAAAAGTAAAATAATTTATCTTTTCAACACAGGGCAAACACCAACTGTCGCAGTACCAAGAACTACTTTACGACCGACTATCACGTATCCAACGACAACTCGTTCGAGGACGACTCCTCCTTCGGATACTACCACTTTGTTTAAAGTTACAACGTCTTATGCAGGTAGGTTATAGCCATGCGTGGAAAATAATGTAATGAATGCAGTAAAAGTTTAAGGTGTACAAAAGTAAAATGATTTATTTTTCGATACAGGGCAAACAACAACCTTTTTAATACCAAAAACTACATTACGGCCGACAACCACGCATTCAAAGACAACTTTTTCGAGGACGAATCCTCTTTCGACAAGTACCCCTCTACTTAGACGTACAACGTATTTTTCAGGAATGTTATTGACATTTTGTGCGAAAATTGGATTGATGGTGCCAAATAACTATCATAAATTTTAAAAGAAAAACATATATATTTATATATTACTTTGTCTTGTAGGTAAAAGTGTTGTTGTCACATTTTCAATTACAAATGTTGACGGTTCAGAAGCAGTTTTAACAGCCGAATTGCTAGATCCAAGCTCGGACGAATTTAAGAGTTTAGAGCAAGAAATTTGCACCTCGGTAAGCAGCAATACATAAATTATTTCTCTTTTAATGATAACTAAATATTGTTTGATAATGGTAGTAAAACGAAATTATCGATATATGATTATTACTTTTATAGCTGATTGATCTATACGGTAACGATGAAGTTGCAGCTTGTTCAGTGTTGAGCTTTAGCGCAGGTAGCATAGTTGCTAATGCGCAACTCGAGCAGGCAACTGGGAGTACGACATCTGATGAGGAACTGCAAACGGATCTCGTGACTGCAATTGACAATGCCGGAGGAATGTTACCTGGAAGTACATTAAAAGTTAATTCGTCGTCGGTTTCTGTTCAAGGTACTTATTACATTAATTTTGTTATTTAAAAAAAAAGTTTTGTCTACAAATGTTCATCAATTCAATATTAGATAGCGTTTCGTTTATATAAATAGTAAAGTAAAATTATTTATCTTGTTGAAACAGGGCAATCGACAACTGAGGCTGTACCAAAAACTACATTACGACCGACAACCACGTATCCAACGACAACTCGTTTGGGAACGACGACTCCTGCAACTACACCTTTCATTGGACGTACAACGTCTTTTGCAGGTAGGCTATAGGCATGTGTGGAACATCATGTATTGCATACCGTACTGGTTATAAGGGTACAAAAGTAAAATGATTTATTTCTTCAACACAGGGCAAACAACAACTGTCGCTGTACCAAGAACCACTTTACGACCGACAACCACGTATCCAACGACAACTAGTTCGAGGACTACTCATCCTCCAGCAACTACCACTTTGTTTAGACGTACGACGTCTTCTGCAAGTAGGTTATAGCCTTAGTGTCGAAAACAATTAATTTACTAGTGTATTGTGTATATGTATGCAAAAGTAAAACGATTTATCTTGTAGAAACAGGGTAAAGAACATCTGTGGTTGTATGATGAATAAACCAAGATTCAAAAAACAATTTGTTTGTGGACGACCCCTATTTCTGCTACTACCAGGCAGGCTATAGTCATGTGTGCAAAATCATGTATTGAATACCGATTAGTTTTAAGTGAACAAAAGTAAAATGACTTATCTTTTCAACACAGGGCAAACGACAACTGTCGCTGTACCGAGAACTACATTACGACCGATAACCACGTATCCAACGACAACTCGTTTGGGAACGACGACTCTTGCAACTACCCCTTTCATTGGACGTACAACGTTTTTAGCAGGTAGGCTATAGTCATGTGTGCAACATCATGTATTGAATACTGTACTTGTTATAATGGTACAAAATAAAATGATTTATCTTTTCAACACAGGGCAAACACCAACTGTCGCTGTACCAAGAACTACATTACGACCGACAACCAAGTATCCAACGACAACTCGTTTGGGAACGACGACTCCTGCAACTACCCCTTTTATTGGACGTACAACGTCTTTTGCAGGTAGGCTATAGGCATGTGT